CCAGTTTGCTGCCAGGTCCAATTCAAGGTGTTGGTTATCACCTTTAAAGCCCTACATGGCATGGGACTGGGTTACCTGAGGAACCGTCTCACCCCCATTATATTGAACCATCCCACCAGGTCAAGCAGAGAGGGTGTTGTGGGCCCCGTCGAAAGAATGTCAGCTGGTGGGGCCCAGAAGGAGAGCCTTCTCTGCCATGGCCCCTGCCCTATAGAATACTCTCCCCCCAGAGGTAAGGCAGGCCCTTATTCTCATGGTCTTCCAGAAAGCAGTCAAGACCTGGCTCTGCCAACTGGCAGGGGGTGAGAAAAGGGGTACCCAACCCTGGGGGTGGCTAGCACCCTGAAGATGCTCCCATATGTTTTCTATCATCAGCATCTTGGAAGATATTATTTATGTATGTATTGGGTTTTATTGGATTTTTATACTATTTTTATTCTATTTTAACTAATCTTTATTTGCTATTTTTATTGTAAACTACCCAGAGTCACTTCCTCGTGAGATGGGCAATGTCTAAATTTGAAATATAAATAAATAAATAAATAATCAATTCACATTCTGGATAAAGGAATCTCTTGGGACAATTTGTCTCCTTGAAGTATTGGAATCATGAGATTTGGAAGTCTGTACTGGAAAATTCCCATTACTTTGGTGTAATAGTGCAGTACTGATAGGGAAAACAAACAATTGCTTGCCTTTTGTTTGGATGGAACTTTACTTAATTTGTGCTTCCTAAACCAAGATGTTATTGGTTGAAATCTAATTATGCTTCTATATTTGCACCTCTTTGAATTTTGAACTGCATTTTTTAAAGAAAGCACATATTATGGGAAAATGCCTATCAAATATGAATATTAGTGGAAATAATATGCAAACTTGAATTTCCTTAAAGGAAATTGCTTACAAAAATATAGCAAATTAGGCAAAATTGCACAAATATTAGAAAATGCATGGAAATGTTCAAGAATTCTTTTAAAAATTCTCACGTGGAAATAGAACAAAATGAATATATTCTTATAAAACACAAAAGCCAACTGAGATATACTTATTTCATTAATCCATTGATATAGTGCTCTACCTGTCAAGAAAGGATATACTGTATCTAAGTCTCAGGGTTTTCTTTCCAAAAAAATAAAATTTTAAAATAGTAATAAAGTAACAAACAGAAATATTTTCAACAACTAGGGATACTAATCCCTGCAATTGTGAGCAGTTGATAGGTTAATTTCACTTTGGACAATCAGGTTGAAAATCTGTCTAGGAACCATTGACAGAAGACAGAAAACTTGTAGAAGCATATAGCAACAAGTAATAATTGCTGAATTGCAGATAGAGAAAATATCCAAATAAAAATAATCATCAGTTAGAATTAGTCAAGTCTCATTAACATATTCATGTACCTTTCCTGGCAATAATTTGTCATTTGTTTGCCTTCTATTTTGTTGAGGGAGGAGGAGGGATTCCTAATCTGTTCTATAACCCAAGGTTTTTCTGAATGTCTCTTATCCAACCTCTAACCAAGTCTGACCATGCTGAGGTTCCCAATCCCTACGACTTCAGCCAATAACTGCCATCTGTTGAGGTTAACTATAAATTATCACAAATTAAATGCATACAAAAGAGGAAATGGCAGCAGATTTTTTTTAAGAAATCTGAATAAGAAACCGGAGGGCAACAAATTATCATGAACACTTATGTCAGTGAGACTTATTTCTGAGGAGATAGTGTGAAGCCTTTCCTTATTTCATACACCCACACACATCTTCCACCCACTACCCAAAGAACAGGGTGGCAAGTTACAGTTTCTAAAAATTAGACAAAACAATACAAAGGACAAAAGGCCCAGTTAGGCTGTAGACACACAGTCCTGAACACAGGAGTGAAAAATCAGATCTTCAAAAGGCAAGCAATGTTGGTGTCAACTTGGCTCTGTGAAAAGGGCATTCCAAAGGCAGGTACCACAAGAGAGAAGGCCCCATCTTGTGGCATATATTGGACTCCTCTATTAGCAGTCTGTGTCGTAACAAAATTCCTGGATGTACCTAGTCCCTTTAATAGTGGATAAATACAGTGACTTTTGACTTACGATTTACAGCAAATCAGGGTTCTCCACTGACACGTCCCTCCAGTAGGCACAGTCTGCCCAGGGCAGTACTGGTATTTACAGAACCCATGGTGACTCCTCTTGCATTCCATGGTATCAGGTGCAGCCTGAGTATTTCCTGTCACAAAACAACAAAAAGCAGTAAGGGTCTATCCTGTGGGCTTCCCTATCCATCTTTCTCTTGGAAGTTTTGCTTGAAGGAGTTGTGGAGTGGGAACTAGGAGGAGAGGACAGTGAGGGACTACTGGTGTAGGTCACCTAGCTTCAGATTTCCTGTTGTCACTGAGGTACTTCAAACCACTATTTCTCAGGATGCTGTGCATCAATCCTATTGCTTTTCCAGGTTACCGTCCAGCTGGAGTGATGCAAAGCTCCCTGACTAGACAAGCAACTTTGTAGCTTCATTTCCCTCATTAGAGGTGATGGGCATCATCAAAGCAAATCATCCTTCTGAAGCTTTGTACAGCATTAGCTTTTGCCACAGGCCAGAATTTGTAGAGGCTTTCAAGATTAGGCCCAAGGGGTATATGAAGTTAGGGTTTCTTGGAATTAGACTTTCTGGGCTGCTCCCAGCTTTCCTAACCTTAGTAAATTGT